AAACAAACATTTTTAGAATAACAAGAAAGATGTCTTAAAAAGAGTAAAACTAATTTCTACCTCATTTTTCTTTCACCATTTATAGGTAATTTATAGAATCAAAAATATGTCCTCTTAAGTTAGGTTGAAAAAGCTCCCACAATCGTTAGATGAAGAGAATTTCCGGAGAGTATTGTTTCCTCAAATACCTAACATATAACATCATTCACTTAGAGAAGCAAAATGTGACATTTACCGTCTAAATTGCCTCAGTTATGAACACATATCTAATCACAATACAACATTAATCTAGGTTCCACTATTTTTTTGTTTTTTGATTTCACAAAATAACATTTTTTTTTTGTTGCTAAAAGGTAAAAATTTCACTCGAAAATGAGAACGGTTTAGGATTACAATGTTACTTATAGTCCTAGGATATGAATTCCATGGCAAAAGAATTAAAACATGAAAAACATAATGCATAACGATTTTCCGTCCGTCCGCTCGACAAAGACCCTAAAGCCGATGGAGCAGGACGAAGAGATAACAATGTAGAAATGTTCTTCCAAGATCAGTTGTGGCTGAGAATACCGAAGGCCAGCACAAAGAACACAAAGACCAAAACCCATTGCACTTAGAAGCCGTTCAAGAGAGGCCCAAAACTAGGGGTTGTCAACGGCAAAGACTCCGACGCGCTCGATCACTTACTCCTCTTGCGTCAAGTGAGGGCAGCTTGAAGAACTTCCTCCATGAGCTAGACCCTAGAAGAAACCCCAAATCCAAAGCAGCAAACGGCACGAGCTTCCCCTACCAAAATCGTTGGCTAGTACAAAGCTAAGTAATACAAATAAGTATGGCACCGCTCACCATATGGCTTACTAGCTCCTCTAAAAACACTAGGCGAGGCTAACGACACTAGGCACTAAACCAACGAACAACTCAACCACCACAACCTCAAGGGACGACACACTCGACTCCTGGTCCATACCCAACCAACCAAGTCGGAACTACGGTGAAGCATCCTACGACACAGCCAAGAAGCATCCACCGGATGCAAAGCCACACCTAAAGCTGCCACACCACAAGTCACCGGAATGCAAAGAGAAGGCTCGACGAAAGATAATACCTGCCCGAGATGCCACCAAGGCCACACCGTAGAGAGGGGCCGGTCGCTGTCCACAACCAATCCCAAACAAAGCGTACCCAAATCTGCTAGGCTAATCACCATCGACTAGACAACCCAGCAAGCCAACTAGCAGAACTCAACATCAATCCAAGAGCCCACGTCTTAGTGACTGAGGCTCCAAAAGCAGAGAGTAATCGAGACCTTGGCCAAGGAACTCAAAAACCATAGCACAAGAGGAGATCTCAAAGACGAGCCAAAAAAGGAAAACTCAGCCGGATATGGTGAAGACAGAGGCCACTTCTCCGCAAGCCAATTCCATTCTCGATCGGAAAAGGCCTAGGAGGGAGAAGCCTAACCACCAGTCGGAGCCGAGCCGCGGCGGATCCAATCTGTGATTGGAAAGGTGCGAGACCGATAAAAGAAGAAAGAGGTTGGACCGCGGCTGAGGACGTCGCTCCTTCGCCGCTTGAAATCTCTTCCGTCGTCGGACTCGCAAGACCAGTGGAGGATCTACAGGAGTAGATCTGTCGGTCGATCTCGTGAGGCAGGTGTCGGGGCGTAGCTGCTCCCCGGTCGACGTCGACTACAATCGACAAGTAGGAGGACGACGGCGGGGAGACCCTCGCACCGAGACGCGACCGTCACGACGAGCCTCTCCGGCCACTCACCGCGAATTGAAGAGTCGATCGATCAGTAGAAGGTGGGAAAGATCCCTGAACAAAGAACAGAAAAGAAGAGGCGAGGGCCCTCTCCTGGTACCGGTCGAAACCGGCCACCGGAGAGGCGACGCGACGAGTTACGGCGGGCGAGTTTCGGCTAAGTTTGACATGTATTTAGCCGACTTCCACGAAGAAAACGTTTATTATATCACCATAACGAATAATGCTTTGTAACATGCGGTATAAATTTTTTCAAAATGATTATTTCCTTGTTCAAATTGTCAAATACTTGGATGTTTTGATATTCTGATTATAGTTGACCACA